TGACCGCCCCCAACCACCAGAGAGCAACTTCCAGGATGTATTTCCTGTGACCTCTTCTTTGACCTCACTTCCTGTTTCCTTTTCCTCATGCTTCTGCCAGCCTATTGTCCTCTTCTTCCCTCTCTGGCCTGTTGGACCAGGACATGTAGGTAAGAGTTTCATTTTCAAAAGTAAAGAAGAGGAATGGGGAGTTGACAGGGACAGAGTCTCAGTTTGGGAAGATGAAAAAGTTCTATGTATGGATGATGGTGATAGTTGTACAACAGTGGGAATGCACTTAAGGCCCCTGAACAGTACACTTAAAGATGGTTCAAATGGTGTTTCTTGTGTTATGTGTATTTTACTTCAGTGAATAAATAGCAAAAAAAAAAAAAAAAAAAAACCCAAACCAAACCCAAAAAAGGGAAGAAAAGCACGTCACATTCGCAGAAATTTTGAAGATCGGCTTCCCACTGCACCTTTGTTGTTTCTCAAGCCCCTCCCAGGGGCCAGGCCACATGTGTTCTCACTTCATCCTGAAACCACCTCCAGGAGAGAGGTGGCCTCCTCCCTGGCCGATGAGGAGACTGAGGCTTAGGGACCAAAGTGGTGAGGCTGTGTTTAAAGACAGATGGCCTCTAGTTCTTAGGTGCAGTGTGAGGGAAGTGTTAGGAGTTTGGGCTTAAGATGGGCTCATCTCCTGACTGCCACGAGCCCTTGAGCAAACGTTTCCTATCACTGACCTTTCTATTCTGACAACTGGGGACAATAACAGTGTCTTCCCAAGTACGGTGGGAGGATTTGATGCGATGATGTTGGAAAGTCTTAGCACAGGGCCTTGGCCACCATCAAGAGTAAAATTCCCTCTGGAGTCCTGTTGGGGCCCCCTTTTGGTGCTTCAGTGGACACAGGGCTGGCTGTGAGACCAGAAGACCCATGTCAGCCTGACACTGATTTTCTCTGTGACCTTGGGGAGGTCCCCTCCCCTCCCTGGGCCTCATATTTCTCAATAAATTAGGTGGGATTGGCGCTTGGTGGCGAACGACATGGAAAGGAAATCCAAAAAAGAGGGTACATATGGATACATATGGATGATTCCGAGGTGGCTCAGACAGTAAAGAATCTGCTCGCAGTACGGGAGACCCAGGTTCGACCCCTGGGTTGGGAAGATCCCCTGGAGAAGGGAATGGCTCCCACTCCAGTATTCTTGCCTGGAGAAGTCCATGGACAGAGGAGTCTGGCAGGCTACAGTCCATGGGGCTGTAAAGAGTTGGACACAACTGAGTGACTAACACACGTTCACATTTTCACTCACTTTGCCGTGCAGCAGAAACTGATATCGCAGTATAAAGCAGCTAAACTCCAATTAAAAAAAAGTTAGGAGGGAGTAGGTCTGCAGGGCTCTGTCCAGTTCTGGGTTTCTAGGGTTTCATTCATAGCCTAGACATCTTTAGAATCAGCGCTCCCTGTCTGGCCCATCCTCCTGTTGGAAGGGTTGGGCCAGATCTCCAGTTATACTTCTACCTTCTGATTTTTTCAGGAATGTTTCATCCCAGCAAGAGGAAGATATCAGAGTTTTAGGATCCCAGAGTACCAATCTCTGCCAGCCACGTGGGCCAAGGTTGGGGACAGACTTGGGCTCTGACAGAAGCACAAGCAGGAACTCTGGCCACTCCAGGGTGAATTCTGACCGGTTCCTGCCATTGACTTGGATTGTTTCCTGGTGGTTCTGGGTACAAAACACTTGTACGGACTGTGTGTGGACTCACTTGTATGGACTCACAACTCCATGTGAGTTTCAGGATCTCAGAGATGGCTTTGTTTTTACAGTACCTCCCACCATCTTCAAGGGGCTGGGCCCAAGGGTGGTTCCTCAGAAACACCAGTCTTAGGTCGCTGGATGCTGAGGTCAAGAAAAAAAGAAGGGTGGAGTTTCAGCTGCAGGCTGGAAGGCAGAAAATGCACAGAGCAGGGCAGAGCAGGTGGGCTGGAGCACCCTGGGGACTCTGGGATGGACTGTGTGGTTTAAACAGTGCTCAGCACAGAGTACTTAGAAAACGAGAACTGGGCTGTGTGGAAATTCCCTGGTGGTCCAGTGGTTAGTGCTCTCAATGCTGGGGCCCTGGGTCAGGGAACTAAGATCCCACAAGCCATGCAGCAAAAAAAAAAAAAAAGAAAGAAAGAAAGAAAAGAAAAAAAAGAACTGACTAGCTGTGTGATGGCTGGTGTGACTGGAGTGGGGATGGGAAGAGGTGGGCAGCAACTGAAAGAGATGAGGGAGGAGAGGTCTCCTTCGGGGTGGGGGGCTTAGCAGTCGCATGGGGGTTTGGCTGGTGTCAGCATTAGCTGATGGAAGAGGGTTTTTGAGAGAAGGCAGGGTCAGGGCTGACCCCAGAGTTTTGGGTCCCAGGGGCTACTTGGTGGATAAGGAACCATTAGCTGAGATGAGAAAGCAAGTTCTGGCAGGGAGAACAGAAGTTCTTTTCCAGTATTTTACATTTGAGATGCAGATTAGACCACTAGGTAGGTGTTGACAAGAGGCTTCCAGGGTCGGTGGGGAGGGCTGGGTGAAGATGTGAGTGTGGGCTCCAGAGGGGTACTGGAAGGCCCCAGATATGATGAGACCACCCAGGAAGTGAGAGAAGAGGGGAAGCTTGTGTTGTTTCCTGGGAACTGCTGTGACAGAGTACCAAAGCTGGTGAAAGTGAAAGTATTAGTTGTTCACTTGGTTCTGACTTTTAATGACCCCGTGGACTGTAGCCTACCAAGCTCCTCTGTCATGGGATTCTCCAGGCAAGAATTCTGGAGTGGGTTGCCATTTCCTTCTTCAGGGCATCTTCCCAATCCAGGGATTGAACCCGGGTCTCCTGCCTTGCAGGTAGATTCTTTAACACTAGTGCCACCTGGGAAGCCAAAGCTGGTAGCCTAAAACAGTAGAAAGTGCCTCTCTCAAAGTTCTGGAGATCAAGGTGTCAGCACAGCCATACCTCCTGGAGACTCTGGATAGAATCCGTCATTGCCTCCTTCTGGCTTTGGGTGGTGGCCGGCAGTCCTTGGCTTGCAGCTGCACCACTCCGATCTCTGTCTCCATTGTCACATTTCATCTGATTTCTCACGGTGTGTCTCCGTCCTCTTCTTGTAAGGACACAAGTCAAACTGGAGAAGACCCGCCCTCCATGACCTCATCTTGACTGATTACACTGACACAACCTTGTTTCCGACAAGGTCACATTCTGAGGTACAGTGTGAGGGTAGAACTTCAGATATCTTTAAAAAATATATATTTATTTGGCTGCGCGGGTCTTGTTTGTGACATGTGGAATCTTTAGTTGCAGCATTTGAACTCTTAATTGTGGCTGTAGTGTGGGGTCTAGTTCCCAGACCAGGGACTGAACCCGGGCCCCCAGCATGGAGAGCACAGACTGTTAGCCCCTGGACCACCAGGGAAGTCCCCAAAATATCTTTTAAAAAGCATTGTATTAGAAATATTTTTAGGTTATCTTTTTTGGCATATTGTGGAAAAATACGCAAGACATGAAACTTACCATCCTAACCGTTTTTAAGTGTAGACTTCTTTTTTTTTAAATTGAAGTATAATCGATTTATGGTATCATATTAGTGACCAGCATAATGACTCACTATTTTTCTAGATTATACTCCATTTAAAGTGTATAGTTCTGGGGTTCCCTGGTGGTCCAGTGTTTAAGAATCCATCTTGAAATGGGGACACTGTTTTGATCCCTGGTCAGGAAAGTCCCACGTGCTGGGGAGCAACTAAACCTATGTGTCATGACTTCGGAATCCATGCGCCCTAGAGCCGGTGCTCCACAACAGGAGAAGCCACTGCAACAGGAAGCCTGCACACTGCAGCTAGAGCATAGCCCCTGCTTGCCACAGCGAGAGGAAAGCCCGCACACAGGAGCGAAGACCCAACACAGCCAAAAATTTAAAAATGAAGTGTATAGTTTTGTGGCATTAAGCACAGTCATGTTTTTATGCAACCATCCCAACATCCATTCCCAGAACTCTTTTCATTTTGCAAAAACTGAAATTCTGTCCCCATTCGCCCCTCCCCCAATCCCTGGCAACCACTATTCTACTGTCTCTATGAATCTGACTGCTGTAGGTTCCTTACAGAAGCAGAATTACACAGTATTTGTCCTCTTATAACTGGCTTATTTCACTTAGCTTCATGTCCTTAAGGTGCATCCACGTTGTAGCATGAGTCAGGATCTCCTTCCTTAATAAAGGTGTTATCATGCTGGGAAAGACTGAAGGCAGAAGGAGAAGGGGATGACAGAGGATGACATGGTTGGATGGCGTCACCGACTCAATGGACATGAGTTTGAGCAAGCTCCAGGAGATAGCGAAGGACAGGGAAGCCTGGCGTGCTGCAGTCCATGGGGTTGCAAGAGTCAGACACGACTGAGCAATGGAACAACAAGGGCTTTTCTGGTGGTTCAGACGGTAAAGAATCTGCCTGCAATGCAAGAGACCTGGGTTCGATGCCTGGGTGGGGAAGATCCCCTGGAGAAGGAAATGGCAATCCACTCAGTATTCTTGCCTGTTGGATTCCATGGACAGAGGAGCCTGACAGGCTATACAGTTCATGGGGTTGCAAACAGTCGGATCCGACTGAGCAAATAACACTTTCACTTTAACACACACCAACATATATCTTTCGGAGCAGGGCGGGGAGGGATGCAATTCAACCTATTATTGGAGTCGGAAGACTGAGTCTTGGTCATCCCAATATTAAGAGGCAAAGAATACAACAGCAAAGAAAGTTGAGGAGTGGTGGGGAGGCGGAGGGAAATCAGGAGGATGTGCCTTCAGTGCCAAGGGAGAGTGATGGTCAGCGCCAGGGCCCCTTCCGGTCAAACAGGAGGTGGAAGGCAATGGGCCCTGGGGATTAGCAACTGAGAGGACACTGGTGACCTGGGCCAGACCGGTATTGGTGGAGGGGGAGGACAGAAGCCTGTTGGCAGCAGGTTTGGAGAGACTGGGATGAGAAGCAGCAGGCAGAGCAGGCAGATAACGCTTTTGATAAATTTTGTAATAAAAGGGAGCTGAGAAATGGGGTGATAGCTGGAGAGAGACATGCAGTCAGAGGTTTTGTAAAGATGAGAGTAGTTACTGGCTCCTTTGAATGCGAGTGAGGATTATCCAGCAGGGAGGGGAAATTGATGAAGGCGGAGGAAAGGGGGCGTGGCTGGGGCATGTCCAGAGGGCAGGGGGGTGGGACTTGGTGACCCGGGCAGGGCTGGGCACCTCTGGAAGCAGGAGGGGTCAGGTGCCAGGGGTCGGGGTGGTGGTGGCAGTCCCTGGATATTCTTTTTTAAAAAAATAATTGTATTAGTATTTATTTTTGGCTCTGCTGGGTTGTTGCTGCTGTGAGCAGGCTTTCTCTAGTTGCGGCAAGCAGGGGGTAGCCTCCACTGTTGTGCTTGGACTTCTCACTGTTCTCACTTCTCTCCTGTTGAAGAGCACAGGCTCTAGGCCCCCTGGGCTTCAGGAGTTGCAGTTCGTGGCCTCAGTAGTTGCCGCTCCTGGGCTCTAGAGCACAGGCTCAGTATTGTGGCTCAGGCGCTTGGTGATCCCTCGGCCTGTGGGATCTTTCCAGATCAGGGATCAAATCCACATCTTCCGCACTGGCAGGCGGATTCTTTATCACTGAGCCACCGGGGAAGCTCCCTGGATATTCTTCTCATGTCCATCTGAAACAGAACAGGGTTGTAGGTGAGAGAGTCAGAGAGGAGGTGATGCTGACACGGTCTGGGGAGTGACCAAGCACAGAGGAGGAGTGAGCGGACATGGGGAAGTGCAGCGTGGGTGCAGAAAGAAAAATGGCTGCTATTTGTCAGCTGCAGACTTACCCCATGTCAGGCACCACATGAATGGTATTTCACCCATCAACTCTATGCGACATACATTTTCATTGTCTGTTTTACAGACGTGGAGACTTTAAGACTTAGGAAGGTGATGTAACTTTCCTTGCATCATATAACCTGTAAGTCTGACCTGAAGCCTGACTGCTGAACAAGTCTGTCCAAATACCACAGGAAGCCTGGGGACTTTAATTTTGTCAATTATTAAGTTACATTTTTTTCCCTCCTGTCTGTAGAAGTACTGATTGTTTATTTCAGAAAATTAGAAAATTCAAAGTCACATAAATAAGAAAAAAATTTTAAATGGCTTTAATTTCACCGCCAAGAAATAATTACTGTTAGAATGTGATTTCTTTGCAGTAGTTTTTTCAATGCATATTAACAGTGGCAGATGTAATGTGTTCAGCAAATTCTGTTTCCTTTCTCTTCCTGGCAGGCAACTAGACTACATTTCCCAGCCTCCCCTGCAGGTGGGGATGTGATTGAGTCTGACCAATGGAAGGTGGGAGGGAGTGATCTCTCTCTCTCTCTCTCTCACACACACACACACACACACACACACCCATACCTGACCCATAAGCTCTTCTGATCTTCCATGCTCTCTCCTCTTGCTGCTCATGGGATGGGAAGTGGGAAGTGCTCGGTGAAGGACTCCAGGACCCTAGAGGGCAGCTAGATCATTGTCAGAAGGCTCTTGTGTTCCGAAGTGACTCAGTGGGATAGAGATCCCCCTCCCCTCATCGTTCCATGAAGGTGAATGAACCTTGGCTGTGTTGTCACTGGACTCTGGGCATTGTTCGTTAAGACCTGAGACAGCACCATCACATAAATACTGGAATCGTACTGTGGATGCAGTTTTAAGCTGATTTGTATTTATTATTACTATTATTATAAGAGAAGGGGATGACAGGATGAGATGGTTAGATGGCCTCACCAACTCAATGAACTTGAGTTTGAGGAAACTCTGGGAGATGGTGAAGGAGAGGGAAGCCTGGCGTGCTGCAGTCCATGAGGTCGCAAAGAGTTGGACACGACTGAGCGAATGAAAAACAAATTATTATTACTTACCATTTACTACAATCTTCTTTCATATTATTAAGCAGTTTTGGATAGCTAGATTTTAATGGTAGTCCCTTATAATTATTTATTTCTCAGTCCCATATGGCTGGATATTTAGGTTGCTTCCAACATTTTGCTTTTATAAGTCATGCTCCAGTGAACATCCTCATCATATATTAGGTCACCAGATCTGGATATGTTCCCATTCATTCACCTCTGTTTCCTGTCTGAGCTCCTCCTTTACCTGGGCTTAAGGAGGTGCCCCAATTCCATTGACACTATATGTAAAAACGAGTGTAGTGGGATGAAACGTACATTCTAGGATCAATGTGTGTGAAAATCTTGATTTTTCTAGAATTGACCTCATTTTGCCTTTGTGTCCCCTTGTCTGCCTACTTTGTGGCAGTGGAGGAGGTGGGGTGACAAAACTGAAAGTCAGTCTCTTCCTTTGTCAAACAGCCTCTTCCAGGTAAATATCTGGTCAATTCAAAGCCCTGACTCCTTGTGAGGGCGGTTCCTCTGTCCCCAGCGTGTCTCCTTGCTGTTTTCTTTTGTAGGTGGTGTCTGGCTGCAGGGAGAAGCTTATGTCGTCTAAAGGGGTTGAGGAAGCAGTGTCTTGTCCTGCTTGCTGTCACTGCACCTGCTCAGGTGTGACTGGTTTGGTACGCACTGGCCTTTGGGCATCTTGCTGATGATGGTGACTGTGGACCTTGCTTTATGGACCATGCTTCTCATCTCTGAGTTAAGCCTCTTCTTCTCCGTGTTGGTTTACTAGGGCTGTTGCAAACTGGGTGACTTCAAACAGCAGATATTTACTTATTCTGGAGTCTAGAAGTCTGAAATCAAGGTGCTGTCTGTGCCATGAAGCCTCTACGGGGGGATCCTTCGTCGCCTCTGCCCACTGCTGGCAGCCCCAGGCTTGTAGCCATATCACTCCCATCTCTGCGTGTGTCTCCTCCTCTTCTCATAAGGACGTTGGTCATATGAGGATACCCACCTAATGTCCTCATCTTAACTCAGTGACATCTTTCAAGAGCCCATTTCAAATAATTCACATTCACAAGTACAGGGCCGGGGTGGTTAGGACCTCAACATAGCTTTCTGGGGAATACAATTCAATTGTAATAGCCTCCCGGGATCCTCAGGGCTCCCTCGGCTCGGTGTGGCAGCGAGGGTCCCTACTATGAGACTGTCCTCAGTCTCACCTGCCTGGGGACCCACAGCCGTTTCCTCCATCTGGCAGCCTGGCCCTGTGGGCTGCAGCATCAGGCCCAACATGGACACATCCCTGGGGGGGAACACAGGCACCACCTTGGGTGTCCGCACATCCCCTGAAAGTGAAAGTGAAGTAGCTCAGTCGTGTCCGACTCTTTGGGACCCCATGGACTGTAGCCCGCCAGGCTCCTCCACCCATGGGATTTTCCAGGCAAGAATGCTGGAGTGGGTTGCCATTTCCTTCTCCAGGGGATCTTCCTGCCCCAGGGATCGAACTCAGCTCTCCCACAATGCGGGCAGATTCTTTACTATCTGAGTCACCAGGGAAGCCCTTCCCATCCCCTAAACCTACCTGAATCGTTCTGCTGCCCTAGGACCCTCCGACCATCTCCTCCTGCCCTGAAAGGGCCTTCCATTCGCCTGCACTGTCTGGCAACAAATCTTCTCTGTGCTACAGATGTTATCCCACATTCCGTCATGGGACAAAAGCCTCATGGTTTAAGTTTCATGGTGGTGGCAATTCGAGAGAGAAGAGGAAAAAAAATACTGAATTAGCAAAAGGGAGAACACAGCAGGAAACATTTCAAAGATCCTACGCCTGTTAAAATGTTTTTGATGGTAAGCCGTATTTGGCTTGACCTTTGAAAGTCTAAACAGAAGAAAACCCTGGTCTCCCTTTATCTGGCAGCCTGTTACTCCCATAGTAAATCCTGGCCAGACTTCCCTGTCTTTTCCTCCAAAGCCTTCTGGCCCTTGATTTCTTCTTCTGGGACACCTTCCTCCTACCCCATGTGCTGGGGCATTTCCAGCTCATGCTGTGGTTCTCAGCTTGGACTACACGTCACTGGGGAAGCTGTTCCCAATCCCCCAGACAGGTAATCCCCTATGACACGCTGCCATCACCTGTTACACTTGTGACTGTGTGTCTTCTGTCTGTGACCCGCAGCAGACCACAGCTTCAGGGGGACAGGAGCCACACATGCTTTGTTCCTGTGTTCCCACTGTTGGCATTTGATAGGACCCCACCCAGTGTTGGGTGAAGGAATGAAAAGCAGCGAAAGTGACACGACAGCGTCTGTATTAGATTGGACCATGTGAGCATCCAACAAAATGTGGTCGGTTTTGACCTCCAAGAATTGCAATTGCCTGTGACTGAAGCCTTCCCAAGCTCTCCTTTTTTTGTGGACTCCCATCACTGGGTGACGATCAGGTTCTTGGCTGAATGAGGGGGCTGCAGATGGTCTGAAATTTCCTGGGACTCTCCTTTCCCTCTTCCCCTCTCGTGTTGGCCATCAACCTTTCCAGGCCCAGAAGATTCTGTGTTGGGTGAGTCTGAATGTGTGTGATCGAATAGCCCACATGGTTTAGCCACCGTCTCCAATTTCTAATTGTTCTCCAGTTCCTCCATGCACTCATGAGTTACCTTCCTGCATCATGGCTTGGAGGTTGACCACCGTATGAGCTGGTGTAGCCTCGCTGCTAAGAGCAGTGGATTTAGTGTCAGACAGCCCTCATTGTGGGGCCTGGCACAATAAATGCTTGAGGAATGATGGAAAACAGACTGGAGTTTGAGTCCCAGCTCTGCTATTTATTAACTTCGAGGTCTTGGGCAAGTTACTTACGCTCTCTGAGTCTCTGTCTCCTCACCCATCCACTGGGGTAACCATGTATCCACCAGATGGAGATGACTGATGTAAAGGGCTTTGTTGGCCTTGGGTTTCGGTCCACGTGAGGCTTCACAGCGGTGGGAGTTGATGGTGGTGGGTGTCTCTCAGCAGTGCCCTCTCTTCTCTTCCAGAATGTTCTAAGTCTGTCTCATCTGGCTTCCCAACTTCCTATTTCTTCTGCTCCGGCCGCCCGGCGCCCCTCACCCAAGGATTAATCAGTGCTGTCGTCTGCGGTCTTATCACTCGCTGCTCAGAGCTCAGCAGGAGCTCCTCCTTGCCTCTCAAGTGATGTCCAGGCTCCTTCTGTGACCTCTGAGAGGCTCTCTGAGGTCAGCCTCACCCAGCCACATTTCCAGCCTCGGCTCTGATGACACTCCTGCGCTTCAACCAGACATGTCTGTCACTTACTGTTTCTGCCCCAACCCCACGTAGCTTCCAGACTCCTGTTCCACTCAAGCTGTTCCTTCTACCAGGGATGTTCTTACCTCACCAAATGAGATGATGTTTGTCAACGAACTTTGATGTCAGATGGCCAACATAAAAAGAAGAAAAAAACAACAGGAAATAAGGGGTTGGAGAGAATGTGGATACCTTGAAACCCTTGTGCTCTGCTGGTAGTAACGTAAAATTGTGCAACTGCTGTGGGAAACAATATGGTGGTTCCTCAAATAGCTAGACGTACAAATTATCATATAATCTAGCAATCCTACTCCTGGGTGTATATCCCAAAGAATTGAAAGTAGGGACTTGAAGAGATATTTGTACACCTATGTTCATAGCAGCATCATTCCCAGTAGCCAGGAGGTTAAAGCACCCCAAATATCCACAGACAGATGAGTGATTAACAAAATGTGGTTTATCCATACAATGAGATATTATTCAGCCTTAAAAAGGAATTCTGAACACCTGCTACAACATTATACTAATATTATACTAAGTAAAATATGCCAACCACAAAAAGACAAAAACTGTATGACTCCACTTATGTCTGTGTATGTTAGTCACTTAGTCATATCTGACCGTTTGTGACCCCATAGACTATAGCCCACCAGGCTCCTCTGTCCATGGGATTCTCCAAATAAGAATGCTGGATTGGGTTGCCATGCCCTCCTCTAGGGGATCTTTCCGACCCAGGAACTGAACAAGTGTCTCTCACAACTCCTGCACTGCAGGTGGGTTCTTTACTGCTGAGCCACTAAGGAAACCCAACTCCACTTAAATGAGGTCCCTAAAGTAGTCACGGTCGTAGAGTCAGAGGACTTCCTTGGTCCAGTGGTTAAGACTCCACCCTTCCAATGCAAGGGGGATGGGTTCGATCCCTGGTCAGGGAACTAAGATCCCACACGCCAGGTGGTGTGGCCAAAAAATAATAATAGAAAAAGATCATGGAGTCAGAAAGTAGCATGTGTGGTTGCCACGGGGTTGGGGAAGGAGGGAGTGGGGAGTCATTGTTTAACAGAGATTAGGTTGGGGAAGATGAACATAGTTCTGGAGATGGGTGGCTCAACAACATGAATGTGCTTAATGCCACTTGAAAATGATGAAGATGGTAAACGTTGAGTTTTATGTATTTCACACTTGAAAAAAACACAAAACTTTGAAGATTGCCTTTGCCAGAAGCCACCATCAAGAGATATCCTCATGTAGTGGGACAGAGGGTGGTCTGCACAGAAGCTGCAGGCAGCCCTCTGCCCTGATGCTGGAGCCAGGCCCCCTGGAACATTCGCGACTCCACCATGAAAAGACATAGACCTCCATGATAAGCAGGGCTGCCACAGGGCTCCCTCTGTCCTCATCCTCCCCTTACCTGGCCTCACCTCTCAGTTCCCTGAAATCTTCTCCTCCAAAGACCTTTCACCACCCGTCCCCCCCCACCAGCGGCCACTTCCAAGGCCACACCTGGATCTTGGCTTCTCCAGGGACAGCCTCCCCCCGCCTGGAGTCCCCACTTCCGGCCTCTCTCTCTACGACGACTCCTCTATTTCCCACCTCCTGTCTTTCGACACACTCTCTCTGTGACCTTGAACCTGATCATTCCTTGCCCGGCAACCTGTGACCCCCTTTGCCTTGTCTTTCCCCTCCCCCCGTCACCTCTCCTCTCCTTAGGTTACAGATGAATCCCTTGGTTGCATCCACCTTCAGCCCCCTGCCCTTTCCCTCCACCTATTTGCCGGATAAATCCTGGTCCCAGTGGAGTCCAGCGTTCTGCCTTTAGTGATCCGGCCCCCAAGCATGGAACTGGTGAGGGGCCTTTGCATCTTTTCACCTCCATTTCCCTTCTCTGGCTTCTCTGCAGCACCGTGTCACCCACGTCCCCTCTCCTGGATCATCTTTATCAGCAGGCAACAAACATGCTGGAATGTCTCCCACATTTAAAAAAAAACACCACCCTTGACCCCCAAATCCCCCAACTTCCACCCTGTTTATCTGACCCTCTTCTAGGACACTCCATCATCAGGGTGGTCTCTCCACGACTGCTCTCCTCCTGTGATCTCCTGAGCCCACTGCAATCAGTGATCTCTTGGCCACTGCACCCAAACAGCCTTTGCCAAAGTCAGTGCTGACTGCTATGTGGCTGGCCCCAGAGGTTACCCTTGGTCTACTCGCCAGCAGCAATGGGCGCAGCTGGTCACTCTCTCAGCCCTGAATATGCCCTTCTCTTGACCTCCCACTTTTCCTCTTGCTCCTGTCTCCCTGTTAACCTGGACCTGCTCCAGGGCTGGTCCTACTCCGCTTCTTCTGTCTGTCTGCAGCTCTCCATGGATGGTCTCTTCCTTCCATGGGGCTGAGAACCAGCTTTCCAGGGACACTGTCCCCCAAAAGACGCCTGTCTCTAGCCAGCCCCATCCACCTGCATTCCAGGCCTCCCCAGCATCTCCGGTGGACAGCTCGTGGCTCCTGACATTTAACCGGTCCCAACAGTGTGTCCTCCACCTGCTAACCTCTAACCTGCCCTCCCACAGCAAATGGAAACACCTTGCTTTCATTTTCTCAGGTCAAAAATGCTTGGAAGTGTCCTTGACTCCTGTCTCTCTCGTATCCTCATCCAGACCAGTGAGTCTTGTCAGCTCTAGCTTGAAACACATGGGAAACACAGCCCCTTCCCCTGGTCTCCTGGGAACCGGGGGCCAGCTGCTGTCCCTGCTCCTCTGCATGAGCTGACCTTCTCCAGGCCTCACCCTCTCGTTCCTCTTCAGCCTGTTTTCCACACTGAAGCCCAAACCATCCTTTTAAAATGCAAGTCCAACCATGTCTCTCGCAGGCTCAGAATCCTCCAGTGGCTTCTCAAAGCAGGGAGAGGGGGATACGAAGCCCTTGTTCCACAGTCCTGATCTGATCCCGTCTCTCCCTTACCTTGCCGACCCCTTCTGAACCCCCCTGAGGGCAGGGCTGTGTGTTTGGTCTTAGCCGGCTCCCCTGGTACCGTGACCCGCACCCAGGCCACACAATGGTGCAAACTAGATGAATGAGTAAGCGAGGAACAGGCCACGGCCCTTCCCTGGGAGGCTCCGCCCTGCGCTGGAGCCTGGCCCAGCTTCCTGCAGTCCCTCCGCCTGCCCTGGGCTGCACCTGGCCCCCGGGCCCTCCCCCTGGGCCAGGTGTGCAGCCTCAAGAACTGTTCTGTCTGGTTGCCAACTCTCGTCTGCAAACGGGGTGCCCCAGGGACCAGGGATTTGTGGGGCTACCAAATCCTCGTGAGCCCGTGTGAATCTCTTGGTTACCCTCCCAGGGGCCCTTCCTTCCACTGGTGGGCGTGACAGAGGGAGCCGCGACCACGCCCCGTTGTGACCACGCCCCTTTACGACACACACCCTTTGGCCACGCCCCTCTTTAAGCCAACCAAGCTTCAGGAAGCCCAGACTTGCAAAAGTTGGCATCCAGCAGTCAGGTCCCTCAGACTTCTCACCTTCACTTTGAGGAGGAGGCCACTTGTCCCAAACAGGGAGTCGAGGAATACCGACTCAAGCTCAGAGCCTGTTGTGGACCCCTCCAGCACGTGTGTCCCCAAAGAGCCAGGAGCCTTGCTCCTCACTCCTGACTTGACAGGAGCTGAACAGAAATAGAACTGCAGGGATCTGCTCCAATCTGCAGACTGAATTGAACTGATGTATAGGAATTCTCAGTTTTAAGTTTCTTTACTTAAAATTTTCTTATGTTTAACACCTGCCAATATTTGTCTGTACATAGCATTCAGTAACAATAATTGCTGTCACCTACTGCCGTCTATAGGGTCGCACAGAGTCGGACATGACTAACGTGACTTAGCAGCAGCAGCAGCATGCCAATTTGATGCCAATTTGAACCTTTCCCAGTGGCTCAGCAGTAAAACATCCTCCTGCAACGCAGGAGATGCAGGTTCCATCCCTGGGTTGGGAAGATCCCCTGAAGAAGGGAAAGGCAACCCATTCCAGTATTCTTGCTGGGAAAAATCCATGGACAGGGGAGCCTGGTGGCTACAGTCCATGGGATCACAAAGAATTGGACACGACTGAAGCTACTCAACAACATGCCAATGTTATTTATTAGATATATCCCAGGCATTGTGCACTTTCCATAGAAATGCCTGGAAATCTACAGAAAGCCTGTGTTGGGTCAGCGCTACCATCTTAACTGTTTTGCCAAGGAGAAAACCAAAGCTCCGAGAAGGGAAGCCAATTGCCTAGAATCACACAGCGGGCTTGGATGCAGCTGAGATTTGAACCCAGGTCCAGGTAGCACTAAAGCCCCTGCTCTACCCATCACCCTCTCCCGTCTCCTTTTTTTGTTTTTTGGCCAAGCTGCTAGGCATGTGAGATGTTAGTTTCCTGACCAGGGATTGAACCTGTGCCCCTGCATTGGAAGCACGGAGCCTTAACTACTAGACCAGCAGGGAAGCCCCTCCCGTCTCCTCCTTGTTGGCACCGGAGCACTTAGATGTTTTAGGAGCATGCTTTCTGCTTGCCCTCTGTGTCTCGTGGTGGTCGTCCTTGCGTTTTGGGCGTTCTGCCCTGTCGTTGTGTTCTGCTTAATTGCTCAGTAGTGTCCGACTCTTTGGGATCCCAGAGACAATAGCCCGCCAGTCTCCTCTGTCCATGGAGTTTTCTCATGGAGTGGGTTGCCATTTTCTACTGCAGGAGATCTTTCCGACCCAGGGATCGAACCCGTGTCTCTTGAGTTTCCTGCATTGGCAGGTGGGTTCTTTACCACTGTGCCACCTGGGAAGCCCGAGTTCTGCCCTAGAGAGTCCTTTTGAGAGGGATGCTCCTGTTTCACTTGCTGAGATGTGACTTTCAGGCTAAGACCTAGGAGGACTCAAGGTATAGGGTGACCTGAGGGGTGGGGTGGGAGGCCTGGGGGCTGGCCTTGTCAACCACTGACCCTCCTGTTTGCCTGCTCCCTGACCAGAGAAGATGGATCTGAGGACCCTGAGGGTGAGGGTCCTGGGACTGAGTGTTTCTCGTGATGGGTCTGTGTGTAGGCAAGGGGGTTTCCCCACAGCCCCAGCTAGGCCCTCACTTGCAAAATTACCCTTCTAGGCTGCAAAGGGCTGTTCACCTTTGAATTCATCCTGCGATCTGGATTTAAGGCAGACGTTCCCCAGACGGAGTCTGGGAACTCTCGTCTTTTCCCCACCAGGGCTGATCACACTTTATGGGGGGGGTACTGAAGTTTCTGGATCTCAAGAGGGTCCAGGCTGCTCTCCGGACTGGAGGGGAACCCGGGAAATTGTGGGGTCAGAGTAGGGAACATTACAGGCTTCAGAAGCGGGTCATGGCTCAGTGGGACCCATGTAGACAGAGGCCTCCCTGCCCGCACTTGGGCCGAGTGGTCGACTGACACCTGAGACATATGCCACCAGCCTGTGTGTCTGGCCCCTGACACTGCCAGCCAGTGCACAGCATGGACTGTCTCTGCCTCCTCTGCTTTGGGGAGACAGGATGGGACAGAAAGCTGCCAGTCCTTTCATGGATGAAGTGCTCCTTCCATCGTGGCTGGCCTCCCACATGGAGGACCATTCAGGGACTGTCCTAGCACACTGGTGAGTTTCTTACCCTCTTTGTCATCACTGCCCGTTTTCACTCACATATCACTTTCTGAGACTTAGAATTGCATTCTCATAAAGAAAATTGTTAGTATTATGTAATGATTATCATCTGGCTTACCTACTTAACTGAGAAATCGAGGGTAGTTTCTGAAGATTTGGGGGGTGGCCTCCTTCCTCTTGGAGAAGGAAATGGCAACCCACTCCAGTATTCTTGCCTGGAGAATCCCATGGACAGAGGAGCCTGGTGTTAGTTTTATGTCTTTATATAACTGTTCAACTTCAGCTTCTTCAGCATTAGAGGTTGGGGCATAGACTTGGATTACTGTGATATTGAATGGTTTGCCTTAGAAATGAACAGAGATCATTCTGTCATTTTTAAGATTGCACCCAAGTACTGCATTTCGGACTCTTTTGTTGACTATGAGGATTACTCCATTTCTTCTAAGGGATTCTTGCCCACAGTAGTAGATATAATGGTCATCTGAGTTGAATTCATCCATTTCAGTCCATTTTAGTTCGCTGATTCCTAAAATGTCGACGTTTTCTCTTGCCATCTCCTGTTTGACCACTTCCAATTTGCCTTGATTCATGGACCTAACATTCCAGGTTCCTATGCAATGTTGTTTTTTACAGCATCGGACTTCACTTCCATCACCAGTCACACTCACAACTGTGCATTGTTTTCCCTTTGGCTCCATCTCTTCGTTCTTTCTGTAGTTATTTCTCCACTGATGTCCAGTAGCATATTGGGCACTTACCGACCTGGGGAGTTCATCTTTCAGTGTCCTATCTTTTTGCCTTTTCATCCTGTTCATGGGGTTCTCAAGGCAAGAATACTGAAGTGGTTTGCCCTCCCCTTCTCCAGTGGACCACATTTTCTCAGAACTCTCCACCATGACCCATCGTCTTGGGTGGCGCAGCATGGCATGGCTCATCGTTTCTTTGAGTTAGACAAGGCTGTGGTCCATGTGATCAGTTTGATTAGTTTTCTGTGATTGCGGTTTTCACAATGTCTTTCACTTGTCTCTTGCCGGGAGGTAATGACAGTACCTGTCAGCAATAAATGAGGTTGGTCCCTCCCTTGCAGGGAGCCCCATCCCCAGGATCAGTGGTGGGGAAGGCTGTGTCCCCCACTGGTCAGGGCTTCCCCGCTGTAGGTAAACAGCCCCAGTGACATAGGAGGGGGTGATTCCAGGAGTCCTACTGACTCCCCTTTTCTCTCTCCCTTCATTTTCTGGAAAAGCGGCTTATACACTCTAACCCTTTCTAACAGAACACCGTGGCAGGCAGTGACAGCCGGATAGAACCTGTTGATAACTGTTTATTTTCATTGTAATTTACCTTTACTTTTAGATTCTATTTATGGCATGGGGGGGGGGTCTTAGTTTCCACTTTCAGTATTCATATAAAGTTCCCAGATAGACACATTTACAGGTAAGAATAGTTGATTCATTTAAAGAAAAATATCAAATAATACAGCGATTCAGATTGACTACTGAAGGCGGTACCTGAAGGACGGGACCAAGAGCAGCAGCCATGGATAGGGTTTTGCTCTTTCATTCTCATCAGCAGACTCGGCTGATGCTCATTTTGTGGTTGTCCCAAAGGTGGATGATCCTGTGTTTGGCAGGAGGGGTTCGGGCCCTGGGTGTTGTGTCTGTGCTGAGTGTAGCTTCGGGGACCCTCCCTCCTCCAGCAGCCTGGCAAGATTGGGGCTGATGTGACCCCTATTTTAAGATGAGAAAGCTGATGAGAGAGGGCCAGTGATGTGCCCAAGGTCACCCAGCTGGCGAGTTGGGGCGTGGGCCTGGCTTCACCTCAGGGTGAGAGGTCTAGCAGTGATGGGGTCATTCCTGGTCACCCAGTCCTCATCATTTGGAAGGGGAAGGGGCTGGAGAAATGGGAGTGTGTTGTGACGGGAGGGGCTGGGGAGACAGAGTGGGGCCCAGGAGTCTGGGCAGTGTGTATGGGCCTTGGAAGGAGAAGCCTGGAACCCAGGCACCCTGCCTTCCCAGGATCTGCTGTCCATCCCACCGCACCATTCTGCAGGGGTCTCCTCTTACCAAGCACCACCCCACCCCCACCATTGCAACCCCTGGGGCATACAATGGCATTGAACAAGACACTTCGGGTGGGGGTGGCAATGTGCATAGGGAGGGGTCGCTATGCTGGCCATTGGTGGCCACTGGCCTGGCGCACCTGGGTGGGCCTAGAGGGGTGCTGGGCACCCAGGTCTGGCTCCCGGCCACAGAGCAGAGGTCTGGATCTCCTCCCCACCCCCATCCTGTCCCTGTGTGTCATCTGCCCATCAGTCCCAGGAGGGGCTCTGGAGGGGCTTTGCTGGGTGGGGTGCACTGAGGGCGCATCGGTGTAGAGGAGAAGGGTGGGAGTTGGGAGCCTCAGCTTCTCCTTCCCTGGAGAGGGAAAGGGGGAGGCCTGATGGCCAGAGGGGCTTTGGTGGAGGGGCCTGATGGTGGAGGGATGCGTGGAAGGGTTCCTCCCTGCCCTGGTCTCCCTCCTCCCCTTAGGAGAGGTCCCAGGAGGTGCCAGCACAGGGTGCATCCAGGCTGTCCCACTGCATCAGCTCTGCCTGCTGCTGGCTGCATCATGTTGCCCTGGCAGGGCTCCTCCGCTCCCCTCTGCCCCATCCCACTGTGTGGTCAGAGCACGTTAACCCCTCAAA